CCTGCAAATACTTGGGGGTTATTATAGACTATGGGCAGCTGGGACTAGGCCGCTGTGTGTGTTGACAATGGGCTTTGTGTCACCCTGAAAAGGCATCCCACTGCCCTCAACCAGGCTCTCCAAGCCCAGGGCCAATGGTGCAGCCTAAGGGACTCTGCCCAGTGTGGGGCCAGGCCTCAGGCTCTGAGCAGCACCAGCAGAAAGGCAGCCCCTCTGAAAGCAACGCCTATCTCAGATTCCAAAGGCAGGGTGCTGACTAGTCCAGCTGGATTAGCTCCCCGGGTACTAAGGATCCTCACGGTCAGCACAAGGCTGGCTACATGCGAAGGGGCAATACAACTTTAAGATGGTCTCCCTGCAAGGATCAGAAAGCAGCGGGGTTAACTGCAGATGTAGACACGTGGCCACAGGTCCGAGGACCTGATGCACAGAGTGCTGTTATATGCTCTGTGGTCCAAGGTCAGGACCCTCTGAGAACTTCCCTGAATTATTTGCAAACAGAGGAAACCTCAGGTAAAGACCTGAGGCAGAGGGACCAGCAGTTAGTGTAATGGCTATGTTGCTGGATTCCCACGTAGTCGACCGTGGTTCGAGTTCTGGACCCAGTGGCTTAAACTCACACGGGGCCCATGTGCGTGTGTGAGGAGGATGGAGGAGAAGGGATTGCGGCATGGCCATCCCCCCTGGGGGGTGATTTCTCGCTTTCTGTCTCTCTGTCTCTGTCTGGCGAGCGCATGCGCCCTATAGCAAAAACCTCTCCCAAAAAAGAAAGACCATGAGCTCATCTGCCCCCAAAGAGAGAGGGATCTTGTTGGCTTTCTGCCAGGCGCACAGCCTGTGAGCCATCCAGGCTTCCTGACTCGGCACGTTAACAGACTCTCCTATTTCCATGTTGTCCCCACAACTCTGCAGGGCAGGCATTTCAACACGGCAGAAGCCCTAACCAGGGATCGAGCTGGCAATGACTGAGCCAGAACCCCAGTGAAGGACCCACATGCTTGCTCTGATCTCCCACATGACATTCTATTTGTTTTTAAAGTCTTACTTATACGATGGAGTGTGTGTACACACGAGAGAGAGAGAGAGACCCTGGCAGGGTCCCATCGCCCTGCAATCCCCCCTCCGTACCCCAGTGTCCGGCTTGTCAGGATCTTGGGCCCGTGCACACACGTCTGGCGGGTTTTTATGCCAACCTAGGGATCCAAGCCTACGTTGGTCACACAGCACCATAACCGTTTGCTGCCGACTGTGCGACCAGGCTGGGTCATACGCTATTTGTCTTCTGCTGAGGCAGTCCTGTCTCCTTAGCTGGATCACAGGCCTTGGGAGGGCAAAGAGGAATTTCATTTCTTTACCTCAGATCAGCTCTACTCACCTGACTCAGGTCGTGAATACTGTCATGGATGGGTGTGTCATTAAATGAACTTTAGCAGAGACTTTTTTTTTCCTGCTAGACCCTCACCATTGCATCCATTTTAAACTCAAGGATCTCAAAAACATATTTCTCCTTCCCTTTGTTGGCTTCTGTCATTAGACCCCGTGCATCTGTACAGAGCTCTGAGTGCAGACAGCTTGAAAAGGGCAAAATAAAAATAGCTGATTGGTCGATAACAGAATGGGAGGGTTTCTAAGTACAGCGGGGGAGGCACTGGCACTAAGGCCAGCTGGAAGAGAGCAGAACCAGCTTGCTCTGAGGCAATGCAGGTGGCTCTGACTGGCTGGTGGTGACAGGGAGGGAACAGCTCATGAAAGGTTCTGCTTTTGTTCTGTCTTAGCCAACACCCACCAGAGTACCAATTCCCTGGAAAATTGGCCTGCTGGCCACTTACTATGAAGTGTCCAATAGGAAGTGAGAGCCACATACAGGAGACTTCTTCAGGCTGCTCTGGTTTGCAGAACCCTCTAGCCTATCACCAGTGTTTTATTTTGAAAGTTAAGTCTTCCACGAGCAAGAAGGACAGAGAAGAGAGAGAAAGAGCCAGAGAGATGACACCCCCAGGAGAGTCCACCTCTAGCCTCCGCCAACCCTGGATCATGGGCATGCACATACCCAGTGTTTTCTTAATTCAGTCCTCTGCCTTCTTCCACAACACTGCCATTCTCCCTCTCTGTGTAGGCTCTTTCCTGGGTATTGATTGTTGCTTTTATTGGTAATCAGTATGCCAAAAATAAAAATGAACACAAGTGTGGATGGTGGGGGGGGGGGAAGGCAGGGAGGAAAGTGGATTCTTTAACTCCAGGGATGGGACAAACCTCGCTCTGAGCCCCAGTGGTCAACCTAGGACCTGATCCTCTCAGCACACCTCTGCAATTATCGTTAAGGCTGTGTGTCTGTCTGCCCTTCCCCCTGTCAGGGTGTGCAGCTCAGGTCTTCCTCACACACCCTGAGTGCTTGGTGTTCAATTCATAGCTTCCAACTGACATCCTGAAGGGCTGTCCAGGAAGAGTCATTCCAGGGCTAGGCCCGCCACCACGCCTCTAGGCTGTTTCCACATGCAGCTGCCCCAGCAGGCCAGTCACCACCACAATTTGGGGTTAGGGGTTTGGTTCTGGAAGGGCAGGCGGCAACAATATACTACATAGCCAAAGAATATTCACTTGTGCAATGTCTAGACCAACTGTTCCTACATACTTAGCGATACGTGCTTTTTTTTTTTTTTTCTTTTAGGGATTTTTGCTACAGGGTTCATGTGCTTGCCGGAAAGACAAGAGAGAGACTGAGACACAGAAAGTGAGAAATCACCCCCTCCCAGGGGGGATGGCCATGCCACAATCCCTCTTCTCCATTCTCCTCTGGGGATTTTGGGCACACACACACACACATGTGCCTGGCGAGTCAAGCTTCCTGGACTCAAGGGCAGTCGACTGTGTGGGAGTCTTGCCACGTAACCATACGCCACCTGCTGGGCTCAGATGTGTGTTAGTCTTACCTCCAGGTGTAAAGACACGCGGCCTGAGGATTTATTCCTGGGCTCAATTTCTGCATCTGTAACCCGGAGATAGTAACACCTAACTCTTTTGATGGGAGGATTAAATAAATACTATGTATGCGCTTATTTGTTTATTGTTTGTTTTCTGCTCTAGACTGTAAATTCAGGTGGGCAAGGACTGTAGCTTGCTCACTGCTCTATTACCTGCGCCTGGAACAAACGCCTGGTACACGGAGGTGCTCAACACACACAGCCTCGTGCTAAATGGAAATGACGGGAGATGAGCCCAGGCTAGAGCGTGGCCCGTCTATAACCTTCGTTTCTTAGAGTTTTCTTCTGCCTCCAGCAACGTGGTGCTGGGGCTGGGGGTATGGGTGGGAGGGCTTATTCTAGCCTTGAGGCAAGGTCAGCAAAAAAACCAGGAGCAAGGAAGCCAGAAAAGGCTCCGAGGGACAGGCTGCAATGACAGCTCCCTCCCTCAGGTTCCCTTTTTTGGAATGGCGGGGAACAACGCAGGAGGGCGTGCAGGCGGAGGGCGGGGCGAACGCTCGCCGGCGGCTCCCGCGCTCTGGTGCGGCTCCACCTTAAGTGCTCGGGCTCCCTTAAGGGCGGGCGCTCAGGACGTATGCCTCGGGGCGGGGCCTCTCATGCAAATA